TTCTGCATGGTGCAATAAAAGGTGATTTTTATTTTCTGCAGATTTTATATTTTAATTTTGAATATGTGTATTAGTTTCCTATTGCTGCCCTAACAAATACCACAAACTGGGTGACTTAAACACCAACAATTTATTCTCTCACAGTTCTGGAAGCCAAAAGTCTGAAGTCATTTTCACTGGGCTGAAATCAAGATTTCAGCAGAGATGCACTTCCTCCAGAGGCTCTAGAGGAAAATCCATTCCTTGCCTCTTCCAGCTTCTGTTGGCTGCTGACATTCCTTGGCTTGTGGCCACATCACTCCTATCTCTGCCTCCATGGTCACAATGCCTTCTGCTCTTCTGTCTGTGTCAAATGTCCCTCGGCCTCCTTCTTACAAGGATTCCTATGACTGCTTTTAGGGCCTATTCGTACAGTCTAGGATAATCTCCCCACTCAAATTCCTTAACTTAATTACATCTGCAAAGATTCTTTTTCCAAATAAAATAACATTTACAAGTTTCCAAATGAAGTAACATTAATGTTAGTATTAGGGCCTAATATATTTGGGAGCAATTATTCAACCTACTACATTACACTTTACTTTTATCAGAAAAGAACACCAACATTCATTTTAGGAAAAATTTGACTTTGTTCAGATTGTTCCATCTAAAGTTATTACACCCCAAATAGGAAAAGAATTGCTGATTGGGGGATTTTTAGGGAGGGCATTTTAGAGAAGTGTTAAATTATATATTGAATTTATATTGAAATAATTTATGTATCAGTCTCCCTCATTAAATTGTAAACCTTCTGAGGATAGGAACTGTGTTTACTTTACTCCTTGTCTTGTTTTCTTTCCTTGCTCTCCAGCTACTGGAAAATGTTGTAACTGTTACTTAGTAAATATTTGATATATTTGTTGACCTACACACATCATTTGAAATGTCACTGGGCTGAGCCCGTGGCACACTCGGGAGAGTGCGGCGCTGGGAGCGCAGCAGCGCTCCCGCCGCGGGTTCAGATCCTATATAGGGATGACCGGTGCACTCACAGCGCTCACTGGCTGAGTGCGGTGCAGCCGGTCTCAAAAAAGGACAAAAGAAAAAAGAAAAAAGAAATGTCACTCAGGGCAGACAAATAACATCTGCAACAGGCTGTGAGCTCCAGAGAGCTGCAAAGGGGGATAGTAGCCCACTGTCTGGATTTGCCAGTGACTCTCCCAGTTTCAACACTGAATGTCTCATGTCCCAGGAAACCCCCCAGTCTTGGGCAAATCAGGATGATTGGTCATCCTGCGAGGAGCCCAAATAGTATTGTCCTGGAAGTGTGCCCTGAATGTGGCTCTTTTGTATTCTCAAGCACAAAGTGAAGTGTTGACTCATCCACCTACTCATTCAGTTCAACAAATGTTTATTGGGCACCTACTATATATACCTGGCAGGCACATTTCGAAGTGCTGGAAATTTAATGATTAGCAAAATGGATAAAAATCTTTGCTCTTGTGAAACTACATTTTAATGGAGGATATATATAATAAATATAGGTAAGGCATAGAACTATAATGAGAACTGTTGATACTTACTATGAAGAAAAACAACACAGGGCATGGGAGAGAATGCTGGGGACTCCTATTTTAGGTAGGATAATCAGAGGTCTCTATGAGGTGACAATTGAACAGAGACAAGGGTGAAGCTAGGGAACAAATTGTGTGTGCATCTGGGGGAAGAGGGTGTAAGAAGAAACAGCAGGTGCAAAGGCCCTGGTGGGGGACCTGTTGAGCTCGCTTGAGGGGACATGTGGAGGCCATTGTGACTGGCCTGGAGCAAGCAAGGAGGAAGTGATGGGAGACGGAGTAGGGGAGTTCAGAGATGGGTCAGATCAGTGACTAGCACTTGCGTCCACAGGTATATCAAAGACATATGTATACAGACTGTCCTCAGTTAGAGGGAAGACTTTCTTCTCTGCACATTCCTTTGGATGCTTTGCTCTATTTTTTTTCTTTTTTAATCATGTTCATGAATTACTTTTTAAAAATCTAGTTAATAGCTTAAAATAATTTAAAACAATAAAGATGATTTTATAATAATTTTCAAGTAATTACTAAAAAATTAAAGTTGCAGCTGGGTGCAGTTGGAAGGGGGAGCCACAGGTTGTTTGTGTTGGGCCTCCCTGGTGACAGGGCTACCCAGGAGGCAGAACCTGAGCTTCAGGCACAGTTGTGGCTTTGGGTAAACAGAAAAACCCAGAGTGAGGGCCCTAACCCAGGGGACAAAAGCCCAGCCTTCGCCAGAGTCCTCAGAAGACAGGAAGCTGGTATTATTGTTACTGATTTGATCAGAACAAATAGTCACAGATTCCTCCTAGACCTTTTATGATTTAACCATAGCCAGATTGGCCTGGCTGATGTTGAGTGAAATGCTCTTACGGTAAAAAAATTCGGGTGGACAAGATCTCAACACTCTTCCCCCAGTTGCCCAATGATGGGTTCTGCCATCCCAAAGGGGGGACATAAACAAGGTAAAAATAAGTCTGCAGTGACCAGACCCCTCCAGGAGAAAAATGAGGGTTTAGAGATCTTCTTGAACAGGTTTGGGGTGGGGTGGGGAGAGGCTGTAAATAATGAAATAAACACCAATCCCAAATGGGACCTGCAGGCATCAGGGAGAGCCTGCCCCACCTCTCGCCTCTAGCCTCTTGAGGGCAAAGATGAATAACAGCTTCCTAAAATATTAAAGGAAGTTTCCATGAGAGCTGTTAACCTACACCTTTATTCCCCAGACACATTTTTTAAAGGTGTCAGGGTGATGATACCAAGCTTTGTAAACAGTGGGATCCTGGCTTTGCAGAGAGATAAAGAGGCTTCTCCACCACTCCCTCTGTGCAGGACAGAATGTTCAGTTCCTCCCTTCCCTGAAGCTGCTCTCCCTTCTTTCCCTCTCATGAGATTCTCCCTGCCTTGTGAAGCCAGGGTGCTCTCTACAGTCTTGTGTTCTAAATGACAGCTCCAGGGAAGAGAAGGAGGTGTCAGGGCACTTAGTGGAGGCCCCATTCTTGCCCCCATCCCTGCATCCTGCATACCTCACACAGTGAGGCTACAATGGCGATCTTGCTTCCACTGGCTCTGCCCTCAGACAGGCAAGCCCACTGGAATCCTGAGACAACTGTGACCTGGATATTCCCAGTCCCACATTTCTCCCCACTTCTCCTTCAGAAATGAGACCTCAAGTTTTCCACATAGAGAATTTTGATTGCTTTTAAAAATGGGGGCTTCTGTGTGTATATGTGTGTGTGTGTGTGTGTGTGTGTGTTTATTCAATTAAATTAAAAAGGTAAAAAAGAAAAACCTCAGTGGAAATACCCTGGCATGATGTCACGCATAGAGAGCACCTACTGTGCACCAGGCACTGTTTTGGATTCAGGGACTCATTACATCCCTGAACTCACAGAGCTGACAATCTTGCAAGGGAGACAGACAATAAAGAATAACCCAATTAGTATGTTATGTAGTATATGAGGGGTCTTGAAAAAGTTCATGGAAAGATTTATGTTATCTTTCAATTCTATTTTTCCACGAATTTTTTTAAGTACCTTGTATGTAGTGAGTTCCATGGAAAAAAGTGAGAGGGAATGGGGGGTCCGGGCTGGAGCAGGACCTCAGAGTCTCCGCTAAGTTGGAACAGAACAAACACAGCAGGTGTGGCCTAGAATAGGGCCTGGCAGACAGAAGGTGTCCAGTCAAGTTCATTCTCATCCACTTTTCTGTGGCTAGAAACTCATTACTGAGAGTGCAAACTTTGGCATTTACACACAAGCAAGCAAATGACAGCTACAAACCGAACAGCGGTGAACAATACAAGAACCATCACCATAGTTAGGATCTTATTTTTGGTTGTATTGCAGAAGGCAGTATTTATCAAACTAGAGAATGTACTTTATGATTACACCTTTCACTATATGTAAATGTAAAGCAAGTTGCCAGTCTCGGGAGGAAATAGAAGACTGTAAGTCACATATGCCTGTGAGTTTAATATCAGAAGGATTGATTGAAATGAGCTCAAGTGCCCTTTTTAAAGTATATTTTGATTTAGGTGAGGTTTCACAGGTACACGTATAAAACTCATGGAGCTGTAGCTTAAGATTTGTATATTTTGAATATACATAGCTTATATCTCAGTAAAAAAAGATGTGATTACCATTGACTTTGAATTCAGGTGCCACTCCCATGGGCAGTTCCTGAGCACTCACTCACTGCCCTGGGAGGGCCCTAGAGCCTGGGCACAGGCAGGACAGACTCTCCGAACAGGGCAGAACCAGGGTCAAGGGAATCTGCCCAGGGATGCCTGTGTTGTACAGAAACCCCAGCAATGAGAGATGGACAGGGGTTAGCCTGTGATCCCACTGCTTTATGGCTGTTCCTGCCTCTCCTTGAAGGCCCTGGGCTGATAAGGGAACAAAATACCCCCACAGGAAATAACCAGAAAACAAGTCCGAGCAAGGCCATCAGGTCTCAGGGACAAAGCTCTTGTCCCTGCCAAGGAAGACACATTTTTCCCTGCTTCCCGGCATCCCAGGCAGCAGCTGAGTACACAGGGTCATGGAATAGTCACAGGCTATGTAGGGAGTGTCTGTTTGCACCCACAAAGACAGCTGGCTAAGTAGACATGGTGCCACTCTGTCACCTCCATCTCACCTTGTCTCTGTCTCTGTGTCTCTCTGTCACACAAGACAGTCCAGATTCTACACATTCTTTACCAGACACCTAATAACCTATCTGAAGATGCACTGAGACCCAAGCAGCCCACCGTCACCATTTGCACACACTGTGTGACACTTCACATCACGAACCCTCAGAAACCATAGTTGGCTGGTTGTTTCCATAGCAAAGAGTGCCTCTTGGGAATGTGAGCTCTAGGCATGGTGATGACCCTGGAGTACCAGGGGCCTGAATAACACCAGCACACACAGGTGGGCGTCCACACACTTGCTCACTCACTAGGCTACTTCATGTTCTTCTCTGCAGGAGGCCGTGTCACATTGCCCAGAAGAAGGCCAACTGGCCCGAATACAAAATGTTATCCAGAAGCTTCCCCCATCCCATTATAGGTAAGAATCCTAGGGAAAAGAAATGTTCAGCCTGTCAATGTGATGTAATACAATAGAGGCTGGCTAGCATCATAAAAAGGAGGCATTTCAGTGGACAGTGACTTTCCTGGGTGCATTTTGAAGTTGGTGGTCAGGGTACTGTTATCCAAGTGAGTTGGTGCCTGACCAGGGACATTGGTGGCAAGGGGCAGTCCATCTCCAAGTCATTTGCAGGGTGCCCGCCCCTCAGGGTCCCTCAGGAAGTCATTTCGATCACACAAGCCAGCCTCTTGCTGACATTCTTGGTTCTTATTCAGATTCATAGTATAACTAAATCTGTGGAAACCAAGATGCCTTTTACACGGGTTGACTGCGGCTCCTGAGCATTTGGTCAACTGATCTCTCTAGTAGCTCATCACCACAATCCCTTACACCATGCCCATCCTTTCATTTCATTCTCCCCATTCAGCCCCTCATTTTACCACCTTTCCCAGGGTTCTCTACACCTGCATATCTTTTACAAGGGGGCAGATTTTGATGTGGTATAAGAAAGAACTTCTTAGCAATAATAAACGTTGTTCATCTATGAAATGAGGTCCCCAACAAGTCCCAAGTTACCTGAAGCTGGAAAAATTTTATAAAAAAGAGCCTACATCAGAGCCTATTTCAAGACTATGTGCAGTTGATTCTTCCCTGGGTGAACAAGTGGCCTCTAAGAACCCCAGGCTCTGAGGTGCTGTGGTTCCCTGGTTCTGTCTCTGGCTAGTGCACCATGGGCCTCAGCTGACTTCTGACGAAACCAACCCACTGCCCACCTCGGGCCAGTGTGCCTAGGGCCAAGAAAATTACTTCCATTGATCTTGATATCTTCCCAATATTCCTTCAAAATTCATAAGATAGAAATATTTAGAGTCTCTAAACTCCAAACAGAAATTATCTCCAGCTGTCAGGCTTCACACAGGCACTGAAGTTTCCTACTTTGTCAAAAAAATGAACTGTTACAGGACTTTGGAATACTTGATTCGACACCTGGCCCACATCGCCTCCTTCAGCAGCAAGACCAACATGCATGCCAGGAACCTGGCCCTGGTGTGGGCTCCAAACCTCCTCAGGTAACCACCGTACCTCACCTTCCCACCACCCCAGTGGGCTCAAAGCAGCCCGTCCATTGAAATGAAGATTGGATTCTTCAAAACTGAAGCTCCTTTAAGACAAACCTGTAGCTAAGAGGTCATTTGTATAACCCATGAATTAAAGGTGATTTTAATAGCCTAAACTCTTTGCCTGCTAACTTGGAAACTCTGGGTTCCAAAGGCATTTTCTGGCCACAACTACAATGTGGCTAAAGTTATGGGTCTCTATGTTGCTATTTCTTGAAAAGGCCTTTTTCATCTTTGGGGCTCATTGGCTTTTCTGGGCTTTGGTGGGGTCACAGCTGGCTAAAACCTGAATCAGCTTGCTTCATATGACTTCCAAAATGATGATCTGTCCCATAGAATAATGGGATAGAGATGGAAGGGGATTCTATGAAGAAAAAAAAAATCAATTCCTGTATATTCACAGGATAGTGTTTATAGTCTTGCAGTGTATATTTCCTGGTAACTATTTTAAATGTTTTCAGTGTGTTAGGCTTCACAGCCTTTGGTGAGTCCCTTTAATTGGTCTTAAACAGTTAAAATATCCTATAAACTGGAGATGGGGCTTGTACAGAAGGCCAGTTACTGCTTCAGGTTGTAAGGCAGATTCACTCACTAAAAGTATTTCTTCCATGGTTTAGGTCTAAAGAAATCGAAGCCACTGCTTGCAATGGAGATGCAGCCTTCCTTGCAGTCCGGGTCCAGCAGGTGGTGATTGAGTTCATATTGAATCATGTGGATCAAATCTTTAACAATGGTGCACCTGGGTCTCTGGAGAATGACGGTAATTATTCCTTCTGGCATATATCCCACCAGACTATCCTTCTTGTCCTGGTCATGGGGCCCAGGAATAAATGCGAGTGGGCTTGGTTCTAGCTCTGAGCGTTGGCTGTGTGTGTGTGTGTGTGCTGACTACTGTGTTTCAGCATCTGGGGATTGTGCATATGTATACATCTGTATGTGTGCAGTGAGGGTATGGTGTGTCTGCATGTGGCTTTAGCATGTTTATGATTGGTTGCATACATGGCCCATTCCATGAATGTGGCATGGTGGAATAAAACATATAATGTTCTACTGGTTTTAGTGAATTCTTAAACTCTTTGAGCTATTATCTAAAGACACTGGCAATGTTCTCCTTAACTATTAGATTTCATCTTTACTTTTACTATGATGTTTTAGAAGATCCTTGTTCCTTCACCTTGAAGTCTTAAGTGAATGAGTTAAGTGGCAGTGTGTTCATATTCTCTTTGCAAGCATTTCTTGAGTGCTTACTTTGTTCCGCACTGCACCAGGCAGTAGATATACAAATATGAGTGTGTGTTTGTGTGTTTATGGGCATCTCATAATGACATAATGAACCCTAAGACTGAATTGGTCACTCCTATGAGCCTAATTTGTAAAAACCAGAAGTCTAGCTGATCAAGAAGCCTGGTGATGACCATTTGTATATAAGAGTGGTTTTCCATCATTAGCATGCATCAAAATTACCTGAGGGCCTGTGAAAACACAGATTACTGAGCCTTTAACTCTTGATTGCCTCCAATGTGTATTATTCAAATGCATTTTATTTAAAGGTTCTTGTTATGAATTGTTAATGACCTTGGTAAGGCACCATACTTAATATTTACATAAAATGAAATAAGTCATACCCTCTGGAATTTTAGATTTGGACAAGGTTCTATTTCAAACTGAAAAGGTTTTAGAAGTTGTCACAGTCCATTTGGGCGGCTACAATGAAATACCACAAACTAGTTAGCTTATAAACAACAGAAATTTATTTTTCACAGTTCTGGAGACTGGGAGGTCCAAGATCAAGTTGCCAGCAAATTTGGTGCCTGCTGAGAGACTGCTTTCTTTTTTTGTCCTTTTTGAGACTGGCCGCACCGCGCTCAGCCAGTGAGCGCTGTGAGCGCACCGGTCATCCCTATATAGGATCCGAACCTGCGGCGGGAACGCTGCTGCACTCCCAGCGCCGCACTGTCCCGAGTGCGCCACGGTCTCGGCCCGAGAGACTGCTTTCTCATAGAAGTCACCTTCTTGCCATGCACTCATGTGGTGGAAGGATAAACAAGCTCTTTCAGGCCTTTTTCATAAGGGCACTAATCCCCCTCATGAATGCTCTGCCCTTATGACCTAATCACCTCCTAAAGGCCCTCCCCCCCCTTAATACTATTGCACTGGGGATTAAGTTTTAACATGAATTTGGGGGGACACAAACATTCACACCATAGCAGAAGTCATAGAATCCAATACCTTCATTTGACAGATGAGAGCACTGAGGCCAGAGAGACTGTGATATTTCCAAGACTCATTAAAAAAAAAATGTGTATTGAGTACCTCCTATGTACCAGGCACTGTTCTAGACACTGAGGACACATCTGTGCAAAAAAGGCCCTGCACACAGCTATGGTCTGGTTGAGAAGACAAGCAATATATAAGTTTACAAATAAATATATTACCACTTTGAAGACAATAAATACCAAGAAGAAAATACAGCAAATGGATGCAATGTCAGTGACATGAAGGTTTGTTTTGGGACCCGGTAGTCATGGTCTTTGAGGAAGTGATCCTTGAACTGAGACCTGAATGACAGGGGGTACCAGTCATGTTAGGATCTGGGAGATAAATATTCCAAAGACAGAGAACAGCGAGTGTAAAAGCCCTGAGGTGGAAATAGCCTCGAAGTGTGGCAGAAAGTAGGCCAGAGTGGCTGGAATAAATGTGGTCTCCGGGGCCGGCCTGGTGGCGCACTGCTACAGTGAGCCGCTTGGGAGGCGCGGCGGCGCTCCCGCTGAGGGGTCGGATCCCACATGCAGACCGGCCGCTCACTGGCTGAGCGAGGAGCGGGAGCAACACCGAGGGTTGCGATCCCGTTGCCGGTCCCGGTCCGGTACGGGCGCGACACTGAGGGTTGCAATCCGTTGCCAGTCACGAAAAAAGACAAAAAGACAAATAAATAAATAAATAAATAAATGTGGTCTCCAACATGAGGTGTCCCATTCTAGGGAGTACCAAAGACCAAAGTACTGAAGTTGGTGTTAGAAGGAACTATTAGGATTTCTTTTTCATTTATTTTTGTGTTATAATTCGTAATTTCTATTGTTTCATATATATTTCTATCATACGCAATACTAATACAGCACTGTGTATGTATGATTTACAAATGTACACATATATAAAGGGAGTGAACAATTTTTACTGTATATTTTTGTAGATCACTGGGTCCGTAGGCCAAGAGGAGAGGGAAAGCAGAGGAAAGGTCCTTATAGGTTATGCTGAGTTTGGTTGGTTCTCAGTTCCTTGGAAAATCATTGGAGGATTTGGAACAGGCAAGTGCAGGATCTGAGCACTCTGGCTGCTGTGTGGAGGAGAGTCTGAAAAGGAGCAAGGCTGGAAGCAGGGATACCAGTTAAGGGGCTATGGCAGGAATCAGATGGGAAATCATGGTGGCCTGTACTAGGGTCAGCAGTGGGAAGGAGGAAAGTGGCTGGATTCACAATATATTTTTCAGGTAGAGTTTTAAGACTTGCTTATAGGCTGTGTGTGTGGGAGGGATGCATCAAACAAGGGAATGAATGAAAAATAGCTACTCCAGATTTTGGCTTATGCAATTGGTTGGCCCATGGTGCCGTTTACTGACATGCAGAAGCTGAGAGGAGGTACCAGTGCAGAGGTGGAAGCACAGATCACAAGCTCTGCTATGAAATGTAAAGTTAGAGATGCCTGCTATGCATCTAAGCAGAGATGAATAGGCCTGAATGCCAGGCTTCCTCTGAAGCCTGGAAATGAGAGGTGGGTGCTAAACCCACGTCTCCTGACCCTGCAGTTTATATTCTTCTCATTGTTCCGGTAGCTCCCAGAGTGATTGGATTTTTTTAAGTAAGTAAACAAATAATAAAAAGTCATAAATAATCAAGAATCTATGAATAAATATGGAAAGTAAATTAAATTTAAATATTTTTAACCTCCTTTGGATTAAATCAGAAAATTGGGTTAAACTTGCAAACTTCACCTGAAAAGTTTTCATAATCACAGGATGTACAAGGGTACTTCAAAAAGTTCATGGAAAGATTTGTATTGTCTTTTAAATCTATTTTTCCGTGAACTTTTTGGTGTACCCTCGTATTTAACTGCAGTCCTGCTGAATGGCTGCCATGCTTATCCTCCCTGAAGAAGCCCACTGTCACACACTGTCTCTGTTTTCTACGAGGCCCTTTTTTAGTGGCTTTATTTCCTTCCACCCAGAGAAGGTCATGCTCTACAAAGAGAAATAGTGCCGTCAAGCTGCTTTCTGAAAATAAGATGAGTCCTATGCCAAAAGTGATTTCTTAGTCTCAGTTGGTCCAAGTTATTCTCTAGTCTCTTCACAACTTGAGAAGTCACACAAAACTGGGAAGGCCACCAAAAACTAAATAGAAGCAAACGTAGACTTTTTAATTTAGATCAGAGTTTCTCAATCTCAATACTGTTGAGACCATGCTTGTCATGGGGCACTGTTCTGTATATTGCAGGACATTTAGCAACATCCCTGGCCTCTACCCACTAGATGCCAGTAGCACTCCTATACACGTTTGCAACAATCAAAAATGTCTCCAGACATTGCCTGGTCTATCTATCCCTGGCTGTGATGGGGGGTGGTATGCAAAATCGCCTCGAGTTGAGAAGCACTGACTTGGAGAAAAGAGATAACCCTGTCATCACCAATTGTCATCATCACTTCGAACCCTAAAAAATACCATAGAGTCAGAAAGGATTAGCTACATACAATAGAAGACAACTGAGGAGTGAGTAAAAGGCCACATATCTTTTAGGGAATAGTATAGGCTGGAAAGTGTCTCTTTATTGCAGAGATGTAAGCACAGGTGATCTAGGGAAAGTAGAGGCTCCAACCTTAAATTGCCTTAAAGCATGTGTTCTGTAGCTGTGGGGAGGAGGGGTAGTCTCCTGCCCTAGCTGTTAGGCTACCTCTGTGACTGGAGATACATTCCCATGTGGCCGAAGCTCTGCTTCCAAAACAAAGAGTTTTCAGGACTAAAGGCTCATTGTTGTTACTTTGGTTCATAGTAGGTGCTCAATAAATGTTTGTTATGTGAATGAATGAATGAACTAACAAACAGTCCCCCTCCGAAAAGTACAGAAAGAGAAGTTACCTCCTGAAGCCCTCTTTATCCTCTGGCTCGTCTGGCCAGGAGAGTTGTCAGCCTCAGCCCAGGCCCCACCATGCCCAAGAGAAGCCACAGATGGCACTCAGCCACCCATGAGGAGAGCAGGAACGGAGGGGCCGTGGATGGGGTATCTAGCTGAACCGGGCCCTGTGCCTCCTCCAGGACTCAGCTGTGCTCTTTCCTTTACAGAAAGCCGGCCCATCATGAAAAGCCTGACCTTGCCAGCCCTCTCCCTGCCCATGAAGTTGGTGAGCCTGGAGGAAGCTCAGGCCCGCAGCCTGGCTACTAACCATCCTGCTCGGAAGGAAAGGAGAGAGAATAGCCTGCCTGAGATTGTCCCTCCCATGGGCACCCTCTTTCATACCGTCCTTGAGTTACCAGACAACAAGTAAGTGGCATTCTTTTACATTCTGGGAGATCGGCGGGAGAGGCAGGGGTGGACAGAGGAGGAGAGGTCTGTGTAAGTCTCAGGGCCACAATGGCAGCGTGGGTTGGGAGTGTGGTCTAGGTTGGGGTGTAGGGATGCATGGCAGAAGAGAAGGGAGCTGTCTCCACAACTCTCTTGCACTAGCAGTGGATGCTTTCACTCACTGCCCCAAAGGTATCAAGACCCTCAATCTCCCACCAGAGACCCCAAGCACCATGATGGGGATCACTTCACAAGTCATGGCTAAAATCCCTTACTCCTTAATTTAGACATAACAGGCTTGATGTTTACAAAAGGAAGTTTACTAAAAACAAAAACTTGACCCCTCCCCCCATCCTCAACCCCTAAGTGACATTACAAAAAGCAAAAAGATGAATCTCATGACGCAGGACAAGTTGACAAATAACGCCTCTGTAGGCTGAGCGCTCTGGGCAAGCAGCTCGTAGGGCCTCACATTCCTGCCCTCCTTGTCCCATCTCAAACCTGTCGGAGCCATCACCCCTCCCCAGACAAATCAAGCATCATTTTCAGTGGTAGGATGTTTTCTTCCCTCATTTCCTCCTTGCACTTCCTCTGTTGTAATCCTGGCCTCCACCCACCCCCACTCGTACCCACTCTAGAAGGAGGCAGAGATTGAAGCAGGAGCCCTACATTCTAGGCAGACGGCAGGGAAAGGGGCTAAAAGGCAATCTTGTCATTGGAGCGTGTCATCTCCGCTGTTTGGTCAGTGAAAAGACATGTGAAAACAGGCTCTTGTCAGTGTCCTTCCCCAGATGTCAGGGCTGTTTCCTTTCGGGGAAGCAGGAAGAGGGCTGCCTCCTCGCATGATCATAGGAGGCACCAGTCACTGCATGCTGTAGGATGGGCACACCTGGAACTCACCTGGTGAGAACCCCCTGCATTTCCTGGAGTGTACGCATAGTGCCCTTTGGGACTGAGCCCCACTGCTCCTCTCCCTCAATCCTTGAAGAATAAGACTCCCACCCAGGCATCAGGAAGAAGAGTAACTTGGAAGGTCCATCAAGTGCATTTTCTCTGTGCTTTTAACCATATCTGGGCTGCACCATACCCCAAGGTACGCCACCCCATAAAATATACGTCAAGGCCAAGTGCTTGAAATAAACCAGGCCAAGTCCAGAAGAAACTACAGAGCACTGAAGACCTATCTCAACTGATCATAAAAACATGCTGGGCTTGAGATCTGGATGTTCTAGGAGAGCTCTACAGAGAAAAGGTCCTTTGTGAACCCACAAGTTGCAGGGTTTCACTCAGGAACTTTATCAAGTCTAACAACTGGGTGGAGCCACAGCAGGGCAAGGTCTCTGTGGTGACCCCTGCTGGTGGCAGGCCCTCCTGGCCCAGCCTAGGGCTCTCTTTTTCCCCCTCCCATGGAGCAGCCTGGTGTGAGGCAAAGCCTCTGCGTTTCTCTGCAGTGACCGTAGTCCACACCGGGCAGGCCGCAACTCTCCCCAGAGCACCAGGCCAGACTCTTTCCCAGGTCTGCTTTCTCATCCAACCCTTTCGGTCCATGGAAGGCTTCACCAGCCCTCCCCTCACCTGTGGATGACCCAGCAGTGTGGCCACAGTGCAGGGAGCACAACACAGCCAAGGTCTAGGTTCTTTAGCATTTGCTCTTGTAAAAAAATTGGTATCTGAAAACCCAGGACTAAAGTACTTTCCAGAATTCCTAGCAGAGTTCCCAGAACTATGTGGTCACTTGTGTCCTCTGAGTCTCCCACTGACCCCTGCCTCTGCTTGCCCCTGCCCCTGCCTTTAATAATACCTTTTGCCTCTTGCACTGGGAAATATAGTCTTTACTGTAACTCATGAAAGCATGGCTTGGTCATCTAGGGCATTCCCAGACAGGGTGAAAGTCGGGCTCGACCTGGATTTTAGAGAGGAATTTCCTGAGATATCCAAGCTATTCATAACTGAGAACATAATTGGAATATTCTTTTTTAATGTAAAATCCCCTTGAAATGACTAGTTTACAAACTAACCTTGATGGCTTGGCTCTTTTAGGAGGAAGCTTTCCAGTAAATCAAAGAAGTGGAAATCAATATTCAACCTGGGACGTTCAGATTCCAAATCAAAACTGAGTAGAAATGGGAGTGTATTTGTGAGAGGACAAAGGCTCTCAGGTAAGAATCAACAGCAGTTGTGTTTTATGGTACATATGTTTTTTTTCCTAGCTTTGCTTTGATCTTTGGTTTGATCACGTCAAATGCACTAGCCCTGAAGGAGAAATTCATAAATTAACCAGGGGATCTTCTTAAAAAAAAATTTTTTTTTTTTTTTGCATCACGAAAATTTGTGAAAATAGTACATGGAGATCCTATATATCTTTCACGCAACTTCCCCTAATGCTAACATTTTAAGTTGCTATAATACAATTATCAAAGCCAAAAAAATTGATATAATACTATTAATTAATTTATAGATCTTAGTCATATTTGTCCCGCTAATGTCCTTTTTCTGATCCAGCATCCAATCCAAGAACCCATATTGCATTTGGTTTTCATGTCTCGTTAATCTCCCTTAATCTATGACAGTTCCTTAGTCTTTCTGACCTTGATATTCTGCGAGAGTACTGGCCATTTATTTTGTAGAATATACCCAGTGTGGGTTTGTCTGATGTTTTCTCATGGTTAGATTGAGGTTGTGAGTTTTCGCGGGAATCCTACAGAAGTAATGCTGTGCCTGTCTCGGTGTGTCAGATCAGGAGGTACATGATGTCAATATCTTATTGCTTAACCAACCGAGCTAACTGACCGGTCCACTTGGGAAGATAACTTTGATCACTTGGTTAAAGTGCTGTCTGTCATGAAATTTAACATCCATCAATGGTTCTTGCCTGCAACAGCTATTACTGTGGTGTTCGCCAAATGGTGATTCTCTATTAATAGGAATTCTACTATAAGGAAGATCTGTCCCTTCTCACCCAGGGTCATGATTTTTAAGTAGGGTTGCTGTCTCATGAGACTTATTTCTGAGTAATGAATAGAAATTGATGCAGGAAGGAATTAAAGGAACCACAATATAATGAGGAATATAACCAATATAGCTGAATATTGTGTCAGGAAAGGGAAGACCAGGGACATTTTCCACAATGATCTTAGTGTTATAGAATGAAAGTATGATGAAAATGAGGCCATACTTATGAAAACAAGTTATAAAAGGTAAATGTACAAAGGCAATGAGAAAATTTTGATGGATCCTGGTTTGAAAAAAAAAAGATAACATTTTTAAAGACTTTTCTCGAACCTGGTAATAAGTACACACTAAGAATCAGTATGTACAGATGTTAGAAATTTTCATGTTTGTCTCTTGGAGTAAAGCGGGATTTCACAGTGTATTGCCACAGTTAACAATGATTTGGGCTGTAAATAAAAGCAAATCCAATTCAACTGACTTGTGCAATGAGGGAATTTATTGGCTTCTGTAACTGGACACCCAGACACAGGGAAGGCTTCAGGGGTGGCTGGATACAGAGGCTCTGTCTCCTTGTCTCTGTGTTTTCCTCCGCTGTGCCGCCTCTTTGGGTCAGCTTTATCCCCAGACTGGCTTCCATTGCCATGGCAGAGTGGCTATGGTAGTTCTAGGCTTTACCTTTGACAATCGCTATGTCCGGAAGGAGAAAGAACATCATTTCTGGTAGCCTGCTCCTAAGGATAGGAACTGTTCTTTCCCAGAAGTTCCTGTCAAATTCCCCCCCATCTCAACAGCCTTCACTGAGTCACATGGATTAATCTCTTTGGCCAAGGGAGTGCCTTGGGCTGATTGGCTTTGGCCTAGGCTACTGAACCAATCACTGGACTGAGGAATGGGATGGCAGTGAGATGCACCCGAGAAGTACAAGAACTTCTAGAAGAGAAGGGGAAAAGGGAAATGAATGCTGGGTAGGCACCTATAATATTCCTTGTGTGAGGAAACACAGCTTCCACAAAATGGAAAGATAGCCCAAGTGAAGAGGACAGGTTGCCACAGGTATGGCAAAACAGATACAAATTAGAAATTAGGATTCTCAAAGAATTTGAGGGGAAGATTACCTCACAAGAAACTCCTAATCTACAATAAGAGATTTGCTTAAGCACATTAAATAGAGAATTTTAGTTACAAAATCAGTGATACAGAAATGAAAGAGGTTCACCAAGTAATGAAAAGTTGAAAGACAACAGAACAAAATAAATGAACAAAAATGAAACAAATGCTTTGATCTTGACTTAGGAAGATTTCCACCCCCATGTGGTTTTCAAAAGGATCATGTCCCAGGAGCTGGAGCCAGTGATGGTAAACTCAGAATGCACGGGATGTCCCTGGCCAGAGCTTCTCAGCATGGCTGTACCTCAGAATCGCCCACAGAGGGGTTCACACCCACAGCATTTTTGCCTCAGGAAGTCTGCGGCGAAGTCTGAGTATTGGTAATTTTTAAAAAGCTCCCCAGGTGATTCTAATGTGCAGCCAAGGTTGTAAGCCACTGGTCTACGCTTGTGTGAACAATCTAATCAGAGATAGATCACCAAACTGGCTGAACTTTGAGGGGATGCAGCAGTGACATTAAAGAACAATCAGTGTCAATACAGATGGCTCCCTGCGGCCTTGACTACTGCCTGAGTGACTGCTTTTTACCAGAAGAGTGTTTATTGTTGAGAACCTTCGAAACTAAAGACCAATAGGTATATGCTTAAAACTCTAGTGGAACCTGTGACTAAAGCTAGGCCACAAGACCCTGTCACATAATCCACCAGTGTGGTCTCTAAGAGGCTCATGAGCTCACTTTTTGTTGAAATATACTTGTGAGGCTGGCCGGTTAGCTTAGCTGATTAGAGCACAGCCTTGTAACACCACCATCAAGGGTTCAGGTTCAGATCCCCACACTGGCCAGCCACCAAAAAAAAAAAAAAATATATGCATGTGATAAAGGGGAGACAGTGGATTAATATAAGTGAATAATATGTTTAAAAATTCCATAACTAAGGGCATTAAAAAAATTGATTCACCATGAATAGTATTGGGGTGGTTTTTTGGGTGGGAGGGGCAAGGGATGTTTAACCATATTAGAAAATTGAACAGAGATAAGATATAAAGGCTAAGAAACAATGAAGTATTGCCTGAATGAACACATAAACTTTGGAGCCTCCCAGACACTGGTATTTGAGTTGATTCCATTTAACTTTTCTGTATATTATCAGAGGAAGACTTCAGGAAACTCTCCAAAATGAACTCCTCTGAGTGGAGAAATATCAAAGCCAGAGGGCTATTGTCGTTCTGTGCTTTACCTGTGAGTAAAATAGCTAAGAGAGGGGTCCACAGTGGACCCCAGTCAGAAAGAAGCCCCAAGCTGGGGAGGCTAAGGGGCTAAGCTAATTCAGAGCCTTCTAGAAGAGGCAGGGCTTGGAGCAAAGAGGGAAAAAGGAGAAAACTTTAAAAGAGGGATCAAAACAAGTGTGGGTCACAGCCCAGTTTGGGTTAGGCCAACTCCAACTGCTTCTTGTAGAAACATCTCCTATCCTCCCCTCTGTTGCTGAGTCCTGGTCCATCCTGAACAGCAACAACAACAATAAACAATAGATACTTTTTTGAGTACCACTCTGTTTCAGGTTAGTACAACATAAGTGCTCTATAGTCATTATTCATTTAATCCTCACAACAGCTCTATTTTTCCTCATTTTACACATGGGAAAACTGAAGTTCAGAAAAGCTAAGCTGCTTATCTGAGGTCACATGGCCCCAAATTGGCAGAGTTGGGGTTCAAACCCAGATCCGTCTGAATCCAGAGTTACCATAAAGGCAGCTAGTCCTGGGTTCCTGATCAGTTTCCAAGACCTCTTTTCCCTCCTAGCAAACTTGACCTAGAAGGAATTACTTTCCAGCCAATTCAGCTTCCTGAAAAGAGGTGGTATTTCTGAATATGTCTAACTAATACTGCGCCTGGAAAAAATTTTTCACTCATTTATGGGCCGGCCCGGTGGCGCACTGCTACAGTGCGCCGCTTGGGAAGCGCGGCAGCGCTCCCACCGAGGGTTCAGATCCCACATACAGACCGGCCGCTCACTGGCTGAGCGAGGTGCGGGAGCAACACCGAGGGTTGCGATCCCGTTGCCGGTCCCGGTCCGGTACGGGCGCGACACTGAGGGTTGCGATCCGTTGCCGGTCATGAAAAAAGACAAAAAGAAAAAAAAAAATTTTTTTTTCACTCATTTATGCCACACTTTTCCAAAAACCTGCTAAGGCGGCTGACAAAGATGCTTAGAGTACACCAGGCACATAGCAGGTGTTCAAAAAGGTTTGGTTGGGATCTGCTCCAGGGTGAGGCTGGTAGGTGAGATCACTGGGGGAGCAACCAGTTTGCAGACTTCAAGGAGCAGAGCTGCACCTGGGAGAGAGGTGACTCTAGTTCCCCGGGCTCTCTCAGCTGTTGTACCAAATTCCTGGGTACTGAGGGATATGGTGCCAGCTATGATTCTGGCCTATCAAATAGGAGGGGTTGCCTGGAACCCCATGGATTATATCCCATGGATTTATCCTTGAATGCTTTTTGTACAACAATGTTGTGTTCAGGGCTCCTCATTTGCTAATAGCTATTTGACAAAATTGTAGTTTACCTTTGTCTGTAAGGTATTTTTAAAACTTGGATCTACAAATGCCCTGTTTTTATAAGACCACTCTCATTAAGAAAGGAGGGACATCTAGGGTGGAGTGGGGGAACGTTTTCCAAGGGGATAAATTATCGATACTTGAAAACTTTCCTAAAGAAATTTCAGTTGTGTATTTATAGCCTGACCTATTACTGTTCTGAATGCTTCACTTAATACGCATTCATCAGAGATGTTTTTTTTTCTATTGTCTTTAGTGGAAAAAGCTGCTATCCGGCCAGCTAAAAGCATGGACTCATTGTGTTCAGTGCCTGTGGAAGGTGAGATTTTACAATTAGTTTCTGAGCTGGGGATTACAACTGGGAGACTGGAGATCACACCACACTTGCCTATTTACAAGCTGCCATGCCTGCTCATCTGCAGTCACGATCACACACAATCACACAGTCCCAAATCCCTCCTTGACCCTTCCCAAACTCAAGAGGCTCCCATAGCCCTCACCATAATTTCGCCTACTCTACCACAGGGCTGGGCCTACAGAGCCTTCCTTTTTCTCCAGTCTTTCTTTGGCCACATCTGGAGACCACAACTACTTTTCACTCAAACCCGAACCAGGTGAAAGGTCAACACCTGAAAACTAAGTCAGAAAAGGTTTCCCCCTTGGGCAAAGAGAAGTCAAGTCAGAAAGAAGAGTCAAGCATTGGTTTATGCCTCATGGTTTTATGCCTAGATACTTACATTTCTTGAATTGGGGTGTTTCCATAGGCATTAGCTTCATAGTGCTTGTCAAGTCATGATTTTGAGTTGCTGGGTTATTCCTTCATCCGTTCGTTCATTACCAATAAACACTGATTAGGCATCAGCTATGTGTCAGGCGTGTCCAGACTACAGTATCCTTTGTTGGAGCAGATGTGTGTACATTTGCACATGAGGTGACAACCATCACCAAAAGAACATGTAACCACATTTTTTCTCACAGCTCTAGACTTAAGGGCTGGCTTGCCTATATCTCTCTCTTCTATTTCTGTTAAGCAGCCAACAAACACAGCTATAAGTTACAAGGCAAAGGTCTTCCCTGTCAGCAGACTGTTTAAACTCCCCTAATTATCCCTTTAATACAAGACATTTTTCTCTTTGATAAATAAAGCAGCCTGAAACAAAAAGGAGATCTTTAGAACGACTTTTAAAAAACTAGTAAAATACTTAGTGAGATCTTCTTAAGCTGACTGGATACTTTTTGCATTTTCTCACTTTTATATTCATCCATTTGCTTTGATTTTAAAAACTCTTAGGACAGTTTTTACCAAGTTTCGCAAGATTTAACATTTTGAAATATAGATCATTATATATCTGACTTACATGGGTGTTGGGCAGGTAATTTAACCTCTGAATCTCAGTTTCCTCATATGATAAAGGAGATAATTACACTTCCCGTACAGGATGGCCATAAGAATTTTAAACATATGGTCAAGTAAGATGCCCAGCATAGTGCTTAGTACCAAGTTAGAAATTATTTTCCAGATCCCTGGCAAATCATGTGTCATTCCAAGCTGATTTATTTCTCATTCAGACTTTTCTCTTCTTCACCTTCACTTCTTAGTCAGTGAAAGAACGCACTCCTCACAACTGTGTGTTCTCATATTTAGTTAATTTAGTTAATTTCTAGTTTCTCATCCTCTGAATCAAAAGGAAGAAGCCTAGAAAAAGAGGAATAGGTCTAGCTGAGAACAGCATTTGTTTCCTTGCTGGGAAATCAAATCTCTATCTGAATTCATCCGCCAGAAAACAATTAAAACAATGAGCTTTAAAGTTTTAAAATAAAACAGAGGGCTAGCCTGTGGCTCACTCCGGAGAGTGTGGTGCTGATAACACCAAGGCCATGGGTCTGGATCCCTATATAGGGATGGCCAGTTAGCTCACTGGCTGAGCGTGGTGCTGACAACACGAAGCCAAAGGTTAAGATCCGCTTACCAGTCATCTTTTAAAAAATAAAAAAAGAAGAAGAAAACAGGATTCCGTCATTTTGCCCTTCTGTCTTCATTTTGAGCCAATATCATTCTGCCTCCTCCTGTCTCTATTTTTTCATGATCTTCGTTTAACGCCTGGTAGACGATCGCTCCGCGTGGCAATCTTAGCAGTGGGCTTTTGGAAACTACTCTTCCTGCAGAGTTCAGAACTGATGGATATGGCACAACAAAAAACGGTATTATGAGAGTATCATGCAGAAATTCTGTGCACACGAGAAAATGCTTTCTCCCTTGTCAACCAAACGCTGTATACTAGTCTTAACTAGGATGGCACGCCCTCAGTAGGATGCCGTGCCTTTCCAGTATTCAAATGTTGTGTGCCTGTCCTTACGGAAGGCCGAGCCGTGTGTGAGTGCCCCGGCTGCTGACCGTGTGTTTGTTCTTTTTCACTAGGAAAAGAAACCAAAGGAAATTTTAATCGAACGGTCACCACTGGCGGATTTTTCATTCCGGCAACAAAAATGCACTCGACCAGCACTGGCAGCTCATGTGACCTCAGCAAGCAGGAGGGCGAATGGGGCCAAGAGGGGACGCCGGCGGGGGCCGAGGGGGGCTGTGATGTGAGCAGTGACCGAAGCCAGCTCCAGGGCGCTCAGGCCCGGCCCCCACCCGAGCAGCTGAAGGTGTTCCGGCCTCTCGAGGATCCCGAGAGCGAGCAGACAGCCCCGAAGATGCTGGGTATGTTCTATACCTCGAACGACAGCCCCAGCAAATCCGTCTTTACCAGCAGCCTCTTCCAGATGGAGCCCTCGCCGCGTCACCAGCGCAAGGCGCTGAACATCTCGGAGCCCTTTGCGGTGTCGGTGCCGCTCCGCGTGTCCGCCGTCATCAGCACCAACAGCACCCCTTGCAGAACACCCCCGAAGGAGCTGCAGTCCCTTTCCAGCCTGGAAGAGTTTTCTTTCCAGGGGTCAGAGAGTGGAGGTTGGCCAGAAGAGGAGAAGCCACTGGGAGCTGAGACCTCTACAGGTAACGTAGGGGAGAGAGGGTCTCTTTCCATTGCAAGACATAAAAAACAGACTTAAACTTGCAAATAGAGTTTGCAAGGCAATGTAGTGAAGTGGTTAAGATTGTGGGTTCTAGAGCTATACTACCTGGGTGCAAATCCAGGTTCTGCCATTTCGCTATGTGATCTTAAGCAAGTTAATGTAACCACTCTGTGCCTCAGTTTCTTAAGCTATAAAATGGGAATAGTGATGTTAATAATCGTCCCTTCTTCATAAGTTTGTTGTGAATATTAAATGAGTTAATACATGCAAAGCTCTCATGACAGTGTCTAATATACTTGTAAAGTAAAGTAAGCTCCCAATAAATGTTACCTGTTGTTATGAAGGGCCTTCAAAAAGTTCATGAAAAGATTGGTGGGGGTTTTATTTTGCTTTTTTAGTTTAAAAAATTTATTTTTTATTTCATTTTTTCATCAGCTCGCCAGTATGGGGATCCAAACCTTTGGCTCTGGTGTTATAACACCATGCTCTAGCCAACTGAGCTAACGGGCCAACCTGTATTATCTTTTAATTCTATTTTTCTTTTTTTTCCCCCTTTTTGTGACCGGTAAGGGGATCACAACCCTCGGCACGGTGTGGTCTGCACCGCGCTCAGCCAGTGAGTGCACCGGCCATCCCTATATAGGATCCGAACCCGCGGCGCACTCTCCTGAGTGAGCCACGGGGTCGGCCCTTAATTCTATTTTTCCACAAACTTTTTGAAATGTTGTATTTCACTCACATAGTAAGAAGGCAAGGGGAGAAGCTCCCAGAATGGAATGCAGAGTCTCAGAGCTAGAACTGGGAATTCAATCATTCTAGACTCATTCTCTCTCCATTCACCCATCCTCATTTCTACTTCATGTCTGCAAAGAACTCTCTCCCAATTTCTTTATATCAAACGCAGAGAGGACTCTGATTGGGCCTGCTTGGGTCACATGACTGGCCTTGGACCAATCACCACTGCCAGGCTAATGGGGCTCTATGCTTGGCCTGGCTTAAGTCTCTGGGTGTCTGGAGTGAGGATGGGTTCTTTGAGCTATGACGAAATGTGAGCTGCATAAAATGGAAGTATGGAGAACTCCAAAGGAAGGGATGGTTGACAAGCCAATAAATGCTCATTGTGATTTAGGAACGTTTCTATTATAATTAATATCCACTAACTTTTTTTCAGCATCTATTATATTGTGAGGAACTGTCCTAAGTGTTCTACATATATTATCTCATTTCTTCACACTTACTGTTATTCCCATTTGCTTAGAGAGGAATGAGTAATTTGCCCAATGACTCATAGCAAGGAAGTGGAAAACCCAGGATTTTAATGCAGACTAAAACATCCATGCTTGAAACCACTCCACCATGCTCCCTCATGTGTTTACTATGGGCTGTGGAGTTACAAAGATGTTGACATGATCCCTACCCCCCAGCAAGATCACAAACTAAGAAGGGAAACCGAAAGTCTGCACCGAAGTTCAGCCCAGGGTCAACCTGTGGCAGTGGCATAAGAGCCTCCTCTGGCTTTTGGGGATGCAGGAGGGCTTAGGTACCCAAAGTACCATGAAAGAGGTGCTTAGAAAGGACAGCAAGGGCATGAGGGAGAGGCAGTCCTCTTAGGAGAATTTTGGGAAGATTTAGAAGAGGTGACACTCGAGCTGGACCTTCTTGTTTGGGTAGGATTTCTCCACACTGAAAAGATGAGAAAGGGCATTCTGGGCTGAGAGGCAGCTGAATATTGTGGGAAGTGTGTAGGTTTTGGACCCCAACTGGGTTGATTCAGACCCTAGCTTTACCGCTTTTTGGCAGTGTGACAGTGGGCGGATAGTGTTGCTTTGTGTTGCTTTGCCCCCCACGGATTTGTCACCCCACTTCCCCTGGGTAACGGAGATGCAAAGGATTACTCAAAGCCCATCTCTTCTGAGCAGTGAGAAGCCCCGAAGTGGTTACCTTTCCTGGGACCCTCCAGAAAGAGGCATCCCTTCCTTGGGAAAATTAATGCCGAATTGGTGTTCTCTTCCTGCAATTATTTTCCAGACCAGGAAGTTATAAGAAGAGAACAAAGGTGGGGTTATAGTTTAACAATATAGGCTGGTAACTTTCAGTGAAACAAGCCAGATGACATTCCAGTAAGGCAATTAACAAAAGCTTGATCTTAGCAAACATTCCTTCTCCCTCTCCAATTTTCCAGTATCTTTACATTTCAAGCAGTAACCTGTCTGTCCTTGAGCCAGCAACCTTGCCGTGCCACAAATCTTTATCTTACACCAGAGACTTATAGCCTGAGGAAAATTTACAGTCCTCCACAAAGTCAGTATTTGAAACTGCAAGACTTTGGAAAACCAGGCCCTGTGAGGTATATTTGCTTTATAGTATATTCCACAAGTTAGTTACTATCTCTGAGTCTGTTTCTTACCTGCAAAGTAGAGGAGGCTCCTATCCCAAAGGCTATGGTGAGGTCCGAATGGCCTGGCTCGTAGAAGATGCTCAATAGATATTAGCCCTTTTCTCTCTTCCTTTCCTTCAGGGTGGGTGCACAGATGAGTAAAAACTCAGGGGCATCAAGTGATGCCTTGTCTGGAAAGTGGTCCATGCTGGTGGGGGTGGAGCAGGATGAGGGGTAGGGAGGGAAGGAAAGCCTTTGACGAAAACAGTGTTCCCAAAGGCTTTCATGAGATTGGCTATCCTGTCCAAAAGAAAGGGCCTCTGGGCCCCAAGAGGTCTTTTGGAGACAGTCCGTTATCTACTTTTTCCCTTTCTCTTTCTCTCTGTAAATAAGAATACCCAACCTGTATTAAATTGGTCTGGGAAAGACATTAATGGAGATGCCAACCTGCCTACCTGCCTACCTGCCTGTTACTAGTGGCCAGTTGGGGCAGAATGAGGGACCTTGTGGGAGCAGCCATGTAGATCTGGGACCAAAGGCTGAAGGGGGCTGCTGAAAGGTTCAGGAACAACAGTCCCCTCCTCCTTCTCTCTGATGGTATTAGGTTAACTTAAATTTCTTTTCTCCTTCCATGACTATTCCAAATGGAGAACTTCATCTTCATTAATAAAATATTTTTCTTTCTTTTGTGCAGTAGCAGTGGGTAAAAGAAAAAGAATGAAAGATAATTTTCCAGGTTACCTGATTAAAATTTTAGTCTTTCTGGTCAGACCAACTGTCCCACTTTCAGCCAATCTGGGTGAAATTCCAATGCAACCCAGAAGGTAATAGATATCAGCTCAGTGTTACACTTTAACTAAAGTGCTGATAATTAGATCATTGATTGCTCTAAATGAGAAAATTATCAATGTAAGCATAATAATTGGTTATATGACTTCTACCTGATTCAAGGCTATGTCCTGCTAACCTCATCCTCAGTCAGGGGGTGGGGATGTGGGGAGGACAACAAACCTGATCCTTCTGAAAGTGAAGGAAGAGCTTTTGGCCTGACACAAAAACTACAACCAAGACTCCCTGCATCACCTTCTGTAAATCACCTTCTGCTTATTAGAGAAAGATCAGAGTAACCACTGCTTCAAGGAAACTTGACAAATGAGAATCCAGAGTTTCTCTAAGGGATATTAGAGTTGCCCCATTCTTTTACTGAAGAATTTACAATAGAATTCTCTTAAAATAGTTATATTTTAGTGTATCTGAAATATGATTCTACCTACAAAATTTCGTTTTGCCCTATTTTTTAAAATCAGGAGCAAGTACATCTCATAAATCCATGGTTCTATTGGTTAAGGTACAGGCTAAACTGCTATAACATAATAAACCAAAAATACAGTGACTCGATCAAGATAGTTTATTCCGGGCTGACCCCGTGGCTCACTCGGGAGAGTGCGGCGCTGGGAGCGCCGAGACCGCGGGTTCGGATCCTATATAGGTATGGCCAGTGCACTCACTGGCTGAGCGCGGTGCAGTCGACGCCAAGCCAAGGGTTACGATCCCCTTACCGATCACTAAAAACACACACACACACACACACACAAAAAAAAAAAAAAAAAAAAAAAAAAAAAAAAAAAAAAAAAAAAAAAAAAAAAAAAAAAAAAAACACAACAAAACAAAACAAAAAGATAGTTTATTCCTATCTTATGTACAGGTACAGAGGTAGGTGGCTATGTTTTGGCAGATCACCTGACATCCCAGGCTCCTTTTGCTGTCCCCATGGGTGTTGTCCTTGTGGGCATAGTCGAAGTGGGCTCAGCACCTCCACATCCACATTCCTGCCCACGGGAAGGGGAAAAGAGGAGGAAGCCAAGTGGCTTCTACTGAAGGAAATGTATTAGTCCATTTTGTGCTGCTATAACATAATACCTGAGACTAGGTGATTTATAAAGAAAAACGAAATTTATTGCTTACAGTTTCTGAGGCTGGGAAGTCCAAAGTCCATCTGGTGGTGGTGACAGTGACTCAGGCATCTTACATTGCAAGACAGTGGAAGCAGAGAGAACAGAGAGAGAGAAAGACAGACTCTCCTCTTCTTTTAAAGCCCTCAGAACCACTCCCATGACCACCATTTTTAATCCACTCAATACTGCATGGTCCTACAATCCAATCACCTCTTCAAGGCCCCACCTTTCAATTACCATAATAGGATTTCCCACCCTGTTAACAGTCACAGTAGGGGCTAAGTTTCTAATACATAAAACTTGGGGGACACAATTCAAGCTTCAGGGAGTTTGGGGGGCCATAATTCAATCCACTACAGGAAGTAACCCAGAAGTTGCACACATCTCTTCCAGTCCATTCCATCTGTTGAAATTCATTTTGCTTAGCCACACTACCTTCGGAGGAGGCTGAGAAATGTGGTTACTAGCTGGACAGTCATGTGCCCAGCTAAAACTTGGGAGTGGGGGAGGTTCTAGTTCTAAATAAAGAAGAGAATGGATATTGGAGGACAATTAGCAGTCTCTGCCTCAGTGGTCACCTACTTTGTGCATAACATGACCTATGCTGGGAACCTAACAATGCCCTTCCTTCTGAGCTATAGAGATTCTTTTGGAGCTTAGGAATACAAGTACCTGCCAAGTCTGTCAATCAACAAAATTTTGGGGGACTCATGGTCCCTTAGCAGGTCATTTCTAGGAATAGATACTGCCTCCATTCTGAGAAACTTGCCTGGGGATAGAAGCCACATACACAGGACAAGATGATCGATCACCTGATGACTGGGCACCACATAGGTAATAACACTAAGTGCTGCAGGCGTTGGGAGGAAGGAGAGATTGTCTAAGAAGCCTCCAAACAGATGTCATTGGGTTTATGTCTTGAAAAATGGAGGAGATTGGAATCACAGGGGGGACCAGAGCAGAGGAGTACATGGTCTGTCGGGGGAGTGGTAGGAGAAGAGCCGACATGTGGCTGGGCCAGGGTGAGGAGGCCTTTCTATATAATTTTAACTTTTGAACTTTGTACATGTTTTACACGTTCAAGACAAAATTAAATTTCAGGACATAAGCTTACTAAGTGATGGGCAAAAGAAAACAGCACTATTGTCAATTCTGGATCATTATTAGTTCAGGCGTCAGGATGCCGTCACTAGGTCTGACTGAGTTGCAAGGCTGGCATCGGGTGAGACACCTCAGAGTGAAGTCACCTGCATAATCAATGGCAATGAGCAGAGTTTATGCTTAACCAGCAGACTTTTCTGGGCTTGTGCTGTGTGTCAGACACTGTAGGTGTGCTTTCCCTACGTCATCTGCTTTATCCTCACACCGGCCTGCAGAGCAAGCACATGAGGCCATGACCGAGATTACGAGGCACATCGAGAAACTAGAATTTGAACCCAATAAATGATAACATTTATTGAAGGCCTGTGTGCCAAGCAGTGTACTAGGTACTTTAGTCTTCACACCAAGACAACAGCCTTATGTGATGAAATCAGGCCTTCCTTCATGCAAGGCAATAGAGGCCAAACTTGAGGTCTGCCTCCCTCTTCCTGATCTCAGATGTTTAAGATCAGAGCTTAATCACTTTGGATAGATCCACATTGACTGTAGATAACCCCTGAGAAGAGTCACACAGGAAATTTTCAATCATAGTTATGACATCTTTGCAGCTTGGTGTGAATCACAGATTTTTGGGACCTTGGGCACCAAGCTTAACTTCTCAGAGCCTATTTGTGAAGTCAAAGTTTGAGCTACATTGGGCTACAGCCAGGTCTCCCAACTCTGGCACTATTGTCATTTTCATCTGGATAATTGTTGTACGGGGCTGTCCTGTGCATTGGAGGATATTTAGCATCTTGGCTTCTATCAACTAGATGCTATAGTGCTCCCCCAGTCCCCAACATTGTGACAACCAGAAATGTCTCCAGGCATTGCCAAATGTCCTCTGGGGGGAGGGAGAGAGGAGCAAAATGGCCCCTGGATGAGAACCATTGGACTAGATGATGTCCGAGGTCCTGCTCGTCTCTGACAGTCTGTGACTCTGGGATCTGAGCCCAGGACATTGCTAGAAGAAAAGGGTAAAGAATGTGAGGGGCATCGACCTGGGAGAATTCCCTCTGTCTTTGTGACGGAGGACCAGGAGACAGGACAGTGACTGCTGGGAACAGTCTCTCTTGGAATGAAGTCTCCTCTGATAACTCCCATCCTCATTGCAGCTTCGGTACCTAAGGCAGTAGCTCGTGAGGATGCCCAGCCAGCACCTGATGCAGTGGGGGCAGCAGAATGCAGCAAAGACCTTTCCCTGGAGCCAGGTGCCCATCTGGAGGAGAAGAAAACCTCAGAAACCTCCCAGGGCTCTCAGCGTCCACATGAATTGGAGAAGCGGCCAAATCCAGAGAAGGTGGTGGACGAGGAACAAGAGGCTGGCCGGGTGGAGTCCAGCGCTCTCCAGGAGAGCCCCAGGGCCAGAGCCCAGGCCGCGTTTTGCCGTGAGACGGTAAGGTGGACTCACTGCCTGCTCCAGCCAGCTAGAGTCCTCTTTTTCTCAAGTGTTCTGGGTACAATTTAAAGTAGATTTTTAAATAACTTTTTTTCCTGAAGAATCAGTTTCTGCCAAAGGGATTTTAAGAAACAAACTTCTAATCAGATCTGGGATTTTTTTTGCAGTGGACTTTTCAGAGATCCTGCAGTGATGGGAAGGAGCCATCCAGCCCAGATTCTCTGGACAGACTCAACACTAAATATTTCTGACCTGAGGTCACCATAAACCAGTAACATGTCATTAGAACACAATGTCATTCAATCATAGAAGCAGCACAAAACCTGCTTGTCACATCACAGTCCCAAATGTGATGATCATTCATGGGGTCCAGCCCTCTTCTTCCAGACATTCTGGCTGGGCAGTTGTCTACACTATGTTTCTAAAATCTGTGAAATTTCCAGGGTCCATTACTTCCTCCTGTGGCTTCTGGAATTTAAAATACAGTGCCAGAGCTGACTGAACCTTGTCTACTTTCTAGAGGTGGAATTTTCCAAGAAGGTTTTTATGGGATGTCCTTAAATAAGAAGGTATGAGGTTTTCCAGGGACACCCAGGGAAGAGTCCTGCACTGGGGAGGCTGCGCTATGACCAGAGTGTGCCCAAGGGGAAAAGGAAGTTTTTTGCCTTTTAACTTGCTTCCAGAGGCTTGGCTTCCAGGACGTGCACAAATGACAATGCACTGAGATAGGGCAGAGCCAGGGTGCCGTGGTGGCCTCAGGAGGGCTGAGTGAGGGTTCCTATAAGATGTGCTTGCATTTGTTGAAGGGGAAGAATGCAGAGATTCACATGGGGATTAATTCTTATGGAGAGAGCCCAAGTGTGAATGGCATTGCTTTGAGAAGCAGATAAAGTTAGTGCTGGAAGGAGAACCTGGATGGGTTCATAGGACAAGTATAGGCATCAACTCATTCATTTAAAACATGTTTTGGGCCGGCCCGGTGGCGCACTGCTACAGTGTGCCGCTTGGGAGCGCAGCAGCGCTTCCGCCGAGGGTTCGGATCCCACATACAGACCGGTTCCCGCTCACTGGCTGAGCGAGGTGCAGGTGCAGGCGCAACACCGAGGGTTGCGATCCCGTTGCCGGTCCCGGTCCGGTACGGGCGCGACGCTGAGGGTTGCGATCCGTTGCTGGACACGTAAAAAGACAAAAAAAGAAAAAAAAAACATATTTTAAACTCCCACTTTGTGCCAGGCACAATGCTGAGAGCACTGGGGTCACTGCAGTGAACATGACGGTCACCGTCCCTGCCTTCTTGGAGCTGGCAGCCTAGTAGGGGAAAGGTCCTTAAACAAGTAATTTCCACGGCGATATGGAAACATGGAGTGCTGTGGGGGCATATAACAGCAGGACCGAGCCCAGTCAGTCAGAGGTAGAAAGCGCATCACAAGGGTCAGCGAAGGCTTCTCTGAAGCACAGACATGTAGGGTGAGAACTTAACTAGAAAAAAGGGGTAGCGAGTGGGATAGGAAAGGAGAGAATTCCAAGCAGAAAGAATAGGATGTGCCATGAATCGGAGGTGGAAAAGGACAGGAAACGTTCAATGGGAGCAAGGCCAGAAAGGCTGGATTGGGGAGGGTGAGGCTCAGGGGGAGCAGGTGCCATGCCAGCCAGGACTGCATGGAAGGGATTTAGGGATTCACCTAAGGGCAGTGGAAAAGCGTATTATGTGTTCAGAATTTTGTCTTTAAAGGTTTACTCTATTCTATGGGGAGACTGGCTTGGAGGCAGCGGTGCCAGTTAGGAGGCTAGTATGTGGCACGCCAGATGAGAAGTGGCTTAGACGAGGGTAGGGGTCACGGAGATAGATGTGGAGGGATTCAAGAGCTTTTTAGAAGGTAGAATGAACAGGACTTGGTGACGGATTGGCTACGGAGTGAGGAAGAAGGAAGAGTCAAAGACACCTGTTAGGTTTCTGGTCTGAGCAAAAAGATGTACTGTGGGTCCCCTTACTGAGATGGCAGAGAGCGGAGTGAAGGGGAGTTTAGATGTCCATTTATTCACCTAAATTTGTGGATTCTTAGTAAGAGATCAATTAATGTAGGTGCTGAGGAGAGAAAAGTAAAAGTCTGTCTTGAAGTCCCTGTCGTGAAGGAAGGCACAATGTAGAAGGCAAAATAGAAATGTACACAAATACATGTGATGCAGTAGAATCAGATTACTTTGACCAAGTAATCCTGGAGAGTTATCTGAAATAAATAACTCAAAAGGAAACAATGAATCTATTGCAATTCAACAGACCCTTTATTGAGCAGCTACTCACAGCACACTATGCACCATTTGGCCTTAAGGAATCAGAAATGAATAAATACAATCTATGTCTTATTGGAGCTCACAGTCCATTGGGAATGATGAGACAAGGATAAAAGTAAGTGCAATGTGAAACAATATGTGATTAGAGCCAGGTGAGAAGTGATGAGAGGTCTGCAGCGGATCAGACGTCTCAGCAAGGCAGGCACCCCCGCAGGTTGGAGACGCTTCCCCCAAGTGCTTCTCCTTGGACAGAATTATGCCTTGAGACGGCCTCCCTTCACCCCTTTCCTGTCTGTAGCTTTGGGCTTTGTGTAGGGAAAGGGAGGAGCCAAGAAGGACAAAGGGAAGCTGAACTTGAGGGGAGGCAAGGACAGCAAACAAGATACAGGAGGAGGCGGTTCAACAACCACAGAAAAGACACCCTATCCTGTTAACAGAGGTTATCTGTGGGTAGTAGGTATATAAGATTTTGCTGTTTTTGTATTCACCTTTATTTGAATATATACAGGTATTTAAATTTTTTTCCATGCAGAATATGTATTTCTTTGGTAATAAGAAAAAAGAATTACATTTACTTACTTGGAAAGCAGGCTTCAATGTAAGAGTTAACATTTTCATTCCCCTGGGAGTACCACATTCTTGCATGCCTGCTAGTAAACCTGAAGTTGAGACTAGGGTTTTTGTTTTATAAGGCAACAGTGCACAGGGATTAAGCGTTTATGTTCTGGTATAGACAGAACTGGAGATCAGTGCCTCTCTGCTGCTGTATGACTTAGCTAAATTGCTTAGTCTATCTGAACCCAGGCCTCCTCATTTATAAAATGGGAGTAATTATAGTCGTGTTTATCTCCTAGAGTTGCTGGGAGAATTAAAGTAGAAGACACAAGTAAAGTGCTTCATGGTACATGGTAAGCACTGAAACATGCAGAGTTGCTACTGATGCTGCATCCTGTATTTGCTAAGGCAGTGCAGGTTGGCCACTCCAGTCCCTTCACTCTCCAGGGAAACGATGCAGATGGCAATGCACAGAGTCCTTAGTTCTATGATAATCATTTCTTGATGTTTTTTCAGGATGAAGATGATCTGACCAATGCCCTGATCTGGCCAGAGATTCAACAAGAGCTGAAAATCATTGAATCTGAGGAGGAGCTCTCTTTGTTGCCACCACCTGCTCTGAAGATCAGCCCAGTTCAGCCAACTCTCCAGTCCAGTCCAGGGCTGTTTGCTTCCCCAGAGCCTCCGGGGAGTTTGTCTTGTGGCTCCGCCTCTGCCTCAGTCTCCGCCCCTCTGGAGGAGCGGACTAGGGACCCAACCAATCAGAGCACACATGGGGCTTCCACGGCAGCCAATAGAGAGAAGCCGGAGCCAACCCGCCCCCTCAATAGACCCGAGCCTGAGCCAGGTCTGCGCCCAGACCCCACTAGTCTGGTGCCTCTGGAAACAGTTCTGTTTGAGACGGCGGCAGCAGCAGCGTCTCCACACTCAAGGGTGCAGGTGGGAGGCCCAGGGAATCTATCTCCTCCACTCCCACCTGCTCCTCCCGCCACGACACCTCTGGAGGAGGCGCCTCGAGTTCTGCTGTCAACGGGCAGCTGTGAGAGAGAAGAGCCATCCAGGAATTTGAGGACAAATCCCAATGTAGACCAGCTGAAACCCAAAGACAGCTCTGGTATCCCCAGCCTCTGTCAAGGAGAGGAGGCCATTCCAAGACTAAATGAAAAGCAAAATTCAAAGAATGTTGCTCCTGAGGGAAAAGGTTCTTATCTTTCAAGCCCAACGAGGGAAGTGGAGATCTCCCCACAAGGAGAGGGGGATGTAGCCCATTCTGTACGGGAGCCTTCAGACTGTGATGAAGATGACACTGTGACCGACACTGCCCATCATGGCCTGGAAATGGTGGAGCCGTGGGAGGAGCCACAGTGGGTGACCAGTCCCCTTCATTCTCCCACCCTGAAAGATGTGCATGAGGCCCAGGTGCAGGGTCCCCAGAGCCAACGATTGGAGAAGAGGCTTTCCCACAGGCCCAGCCTGCACCACAGCCATTCTCTAGATAGCAAAACCATGGTTAAGAGCCAGTGGACTCTTGAGGTTCCCTCCTCAAGCAGCTGTGCTAATCTGGAAACAGAAAGGAATTCTGACCCTCTGCAGCCCCCGGCACCCAGGAGAGAGAATACTGGATGGAATGAGAAAGCCCTGAGTTCCTTCAGGGAGTTCTCTGACCTGAAAGGGGCAGAGGTTCTTCCAAGCCAGAAGGGACCAGGTGGTATGCAACCCAAACCAGCAGAAACCAGCCCTGTCAGCCTAGCAGAGGGAAAGGAGCTGGGGACACAGCTGGGGCACAGCAACCCACAGATTAAGCAAGATGGTGTTCCTGGGCCTGAGAGCAGCAAAGAGAGTTCACCTAGCATGCAGGACAGTGCCTTGCCTGGAGAGCATCCCCTAAAGTTACAGCTGAAGAGTGCTGAATGTGGGCCCCCCAAAGGAAAAAACAGGCCTTCTTCCCTCAACTTAGACTCTGCCATTCCCATCACTGACCTCTTCCGGTTCGAGAATATGGCCTCATTTAGTTCACCTGGAATGCAGCTCTCTGAGCCGGGAGACTCAAAGGTCACACGGATGACCTCATCTCACGGTAAAGCAGACCCCTGGAGGGGTTACTCCCAGGACCCCCAGGATCTGGACATTGTTGCTCATGCCCTGACAGGCCGCCGTAACTCAGCTCCTGTAAGTGTGTCAGCTGTAAGAACCTCCTTCATGGTGAAAATGTGCCAGGCCAGAGCAGTCCCGGTAATCCCACCCAAGATCCAGTACACGCAGATCCCACAGCCTCTGCCCTCTCAGAGCTCAGGGGAGAGTGGGGCTCAGCCTCTGGAGAGGAGCCAAAAGGAACCCAACTCCACTAGTGGGACCTGTCAGAAACCTGCCAAAGATAATTCTCCCTCCTCCCTGGAAAGCACGAAGGAAGAGGAACCAAAGCAAGATAAAGGAGCCATTAAGTCCTCACCAATGGATGCCACTTCATCCTGCATGTGTGAGGGACCCACCCCTTCTCCAGAACCAGGCTTGTCTAACCTGCTGTCCACTCAGGATGCAATAGTGCAATGCAGAAAGCGCACATCAGAGACAGAGCCATCTGGGGACAATCTTTCTTCAAAAATAGAGCGACCATCTGAGGGTTCTAAGCCTTTCCACAGGTCAAGGCCAGGAAGACCTCAGAGCCTAATCTTATTCAGTCCTCCTTTCCCCATTATGGACCATCTGCCCCCCTCATCCACAGTGACAGATTCCAAGGTCCTACTGTCCCCTATCAGAAGTCCCACCCAGACAGTTTCCCCTGGCCTTCTTTGTGGGGAGTTGGCTGAAAACACATGGGTCACACCAGAAGGGGTTACACTTAGAAATAAAATGACCATCCCTAAGAATGGCCAGAGACTAGAGACCTCAACCAGCTGTTTTTACCAGCCCCAGCGGAGATCAGTGATTCTGGATGGAAGAAGTGGGAGGCAAATAGAATGAAATCAGTTGACCTGCTGGTGTCTGAAAAACATCATGATTCATCTGGAAATTATTACAGGGCCAACTTGCCATTTTCCAGGCGTAGGTTATCAAGTTTGGGCTTATTTTGGCCTCTGACTTCTCGTTTTTTAGCCTTTTGACCATTTATTAATTAGTCCATTTGCCAGAAGAGTGGTCAAGGGAAGGATGAAGAGATGAAATATAGATAAGTCTATATGAGCAAGTAGGAAAAGGTTAGGTCAGAGAAGAAGATGGAAGGCTTGCCTCCAGTGAAATTTGGGGCTTGTGAGTTACTTTACTCCCCCACTGCCATTATCTATTACTGTTGAGAGCTGGCTGTGGTAATGTCCTTTGAAAGAAAGAAAAATCCTTTGCCTGCATTGGAAAATGTTGCTATTGAGGTTTTAAGGCCTCCTCTTTACTTCATGCTTTTTAATGCTCTTTAAAGCATGTGTTCTTTTCGACCAGTTTTCTAATAAGCTTTGTAAAAGTGTACTATCCAGAATAGTTGAAGATGTGAAAATACAAACTAACATGCACTTAGATATCCAAGTGGGTGAATTTACCCATGCTCCTCCCCTGGAATCCCTGCAAGACGTCTCCACATACCAGCACGCAGAATCAGAATCCATACTCAAGAGCAAACTCCGAGACTGGCACAATCCAAGAAGACTTTCTGGCTCTGGCTTTTATCAACTTGAGACTCCAACTGCCACTATACTGAACTCTGATTTATAAATCCAGTATCTGGGCAGGGTGGGGGATAAGCCAAGGATTACCCTAATGAAATGTACTGAATCTTCATTTAGGTATGTTAATAGTGAAGTGATCTGTTTTCTTTACAGTATTAGAGTGCAAGAACAGGATGTTGTCATAGAGAAAAGCCTCACACAGAGGCAGAACTATGCTCCAGACTTTGAATTGGTGGGGCATTAGCAGAAAACACTTCTAGTTCAGCAGCACTCTTCCACACTAGGCTGGGCCTGGCAGAACAGGAGCCGATGAAGGGAGGAGCCCCCAGGACGGAGGGAAGAGCCCTAGCAGAATGGCCATCACTACCACTCACTGAGAGCTGCCCTTCTTGAAAATGTATTTCATCTTAGCCAGTAGGTCCCTTCTTTTCCCCCTCTCCCTCTATTGCTCAAGAGCAGATTGGAGGCACCCCTCTCCCTTCCATAATCCCCTTCATCCACCACCCACCCCAGGAACTCAAATTTGCTCTTCTCTGTATCCAAGCAGAAGCAATAAACCAATATGATTTTCTTTCAGTTACTTAGAACTTTCAAAGGCTCTTTCCTTTTCAGCTGGACAGAGGAAGGAAAACTAATATACCTGCTGGCAGATCTTTGGTGCTTCCCAAAAAAGGACTTCATAGGGCACCTCTTCTCAGGTTCAAGCCTGGCTGAACTCTCTCCACAAGATCAGTCATTGCAGAAATTTCTGAAGAGCTAGCAGTACCTCTGGGCAGATCTCACAACTAAGGCTGGTGCTGGGCTGGGAGGGGGCTGGGCTGAGGTTACCTCCTCTGATGAGCAATTGAAAACTGATGCCTTGCAACAGATAGATATTTCTCTCTCTCTCTTCCTCCCGATAAGCCTTATAAACAGTTTTGAAATCTTGTCCTCTACCTTTTAAGCCAGTGTCTGTGGCAAGGGAAACTGGCAGGTCAGCTGATAAGTTTTGCCTTCAGAGAGCACTGAAATGATTGAGCAAGGGGAGCAATTAATAGGCCATTCTCATTGGGTGAGCAAGACATTGAACCAACGGCAATGAGATGTCAACCCATAAGAAAAGTCCTAGAATATAGCATTTTTGCCGTAGGCAAATAAGGTGAAGAAATACAATGGTGACAGATGAGAAAGGCCATGTTCAAGAGATTTGAAAAGTACATTCCTGCCTTATCAGAAAATGTGGCAGATAGGTTCTACGTCAGTCTCAGTGCACTTGTGGTGTCTACGCTTTGATAAGAACCATGTTCCAGTTAGAAAGTGAGAGAGGGAAAGAACCACACTTTGCTTCACTCTCTAATCTCTGGGCCAAATAATGAAAAATTTAAACTATTTCATGATTATTTTAAATTTTTGTAACAGGATACATTTTTATTTTGGAACAGACTGAGAAGCCATCATTTACATATGAACAAGTGACTTCAGTTAGGATTGAGGCACCTATGTAATCTTACGAAATGGCTGCCATGTTCCTTTAAGACTCTGACACCTTTCATTTATAGTATCACTTGCAGGAGTGTGGGTATGGATGTCATCATGAGACGCACTGACAGCTGTCTGGAGATATTTCCTACCCTGAGCTCCCCTAGCCAGTCAATTCCAGGCCTCAGAAGCTGACTCACCTTCTCAGTGTACTGCTGCTGCTCAAGTGTGGACCTCTCCTTTGACTATCTCCCAGCCTGTCAACTGTCACAAACATACTCATAAGTTTCCTGTGGGCTGGGCTAGTGTGGCGCTGATGAAATTCCATTCCATGGCAAAGAAAAGTCATATTTTCCCCCCAAATTGTTCCCCCAAATGCCCTGGGATTACCTATTTGGTCACCCACATGGGGGTCTGAAAAACAAACTCCCTGAGAATAGCTGGATGAAAATCAGATTGCCCACTTCTGTCCAGGACAGAGACAGAACAAGTGCTGTTGTTTTTAGGAGGATCTACCTGATGCCCTAGAAAGGCCTAGAATCAAACTGTCAAAGGGCTCCTTCACATCAACTATCAGTCGTCAAATCAGGGGTGCTGATTTTAAATGGTGAATATGAAGTGAAAAGCATGCATTTACCACTGCTTTCTTGCACTGTTAATGGCTGTTTAAAAAGATAACCTATATTTATTTGTGAAATGGCCCTCCCAATCCATTTTTTCCCCCCAAAATGGACCAGATAGAGGGTATTTCGTGTTTATTACCTGCTTCACTTGTAATATGAAGAGACCTGGCCAAGATCATTTGTCTACACAGGCCTTGTGTCTCTGCCTGAAGAGGTACTGGGGAACACAACCCCATTAAGACAGTTAGCCTAATCTAACCCCTACAAATTGGTTTGGTAGATAAGTCTTGTTGGATCTCTGCAAATGAGCCAGGTAAGATCAGCATTCCATACTCTTTGAGAAGGGTTTTGAGAGACTTCTGTCATCACAAAGTCTATTAATTCCTGTTGATGAGGAAGTCTTAGGCCCAAGATAAACTGTTCATTTCATGTATAGTGCATAGCACGTTAATCACATTTGACTAAAATTGGGTGGGACAGTCATTTGTGTACACAGGCCTTGTGTTCTTGCCCGAAGAGGTACTGGGGAAAATAAAATTCATTTGTCTGGGATTGGAGTGGGAGAAATTCATGGTATGTCCAATTCCCACCAGGATTGATTAGGTCCACATTCTACCATGGCCTGTCGCATCCGATGACAACATGAATCTTGGGGTTAAGTGTTACAGCAGTATGACTTTAGGCACTTCCAGTAGGAAGGTCAGCTGAAAATGCGGATGACAAAGAATGCATCCTCCTTCACCAAAACCTTTCCTAGCAAAATAAGGCCAGAAGAGGGAGCAAGTACCTTTCCAAGCATGAAGAGGTGGGAGACGGTAGAAAGGTAATTGCCTGAGATCAATACTAGTCCAGATAGTATAAAACTGGGGCCACCACAGATTAACTGGCATACAGATCATTCAGTAACCGTGAAGTACTTGAGCAATGCTGGGATTACTTCCCAATGAGGGTGAAAGAAGATGTAGATAAATAGAAGAAGCTCATGAAATCCATGTGTTTTACTGGATGAATCATAATGCTTTGCAAAAACTTAATGCCATAGTTCTTTCTGCCTTCTAATTCTGCAAAGTAAAGCACTTTTTCAAAGGAGTCTGTTAGAATGTCACGATTTCAGCTTTTAGAGCTCTATAAATGTTACCAAAGATATAATCAAAATGTCTTTCTATTGATTAAAAAAGTATAAATATTAAGCCTATCCACAGAGACATTTAAATGTAATTAAAAGATTGTTACGCTTTAAAATCATACTCTAATAAATGACATAAAATAGAATGCTTATGATGAACTATGAGCAAGAGGAAGTATGAGGTCACCAAAATCAATCAGAAAAGTAGATTGTATGCATCAGATTCATTGTTCTAGTTTGTTCTGTTTGATGTGATTGTTATTGTAAAGTTTGGTCTCACAGCAAAAGTCCTAATGATTTGCTTTAGTAAATTTTTCTTGTTTTTGTTATTGTCTTTTTGTCTTTTTCCGTGTCCGGCAACGGATTGCAACCCTCAGTGTTGCCCCCGTACCGGACCGGGGACCGGCAACGGGATCGCAGACCTCGGTGTTGCTCCCGTGCCTCGCTCAGCCAGTGAGCGGGAGCCGGTCTGTATGTGGGATCCGAACCCTCGGATGGGAGCGCCGCCGCGCTTCCCAAGCGGCGCACTATCCAGTGCGCCACTGGGCCGGCCCTTGTTTTTGTTATTTTACATATTAATAATTGTCAAATGTTTGCAACTTCACCCACTTACTGCTGCAGTCATAGTCATGTCACCCAGAACACACAGTATGAATCCATGATATTATAATGAAAAACAAGAAGAAAAAAAGCTAATTGCTTCTCAAAACTCCACAGCTTAAGGAATCATGTGGGTCCACCTGAACAGATGTGAACTCAATTTTCCTATTTCGTGAGTCAATCAAGGGAGACTATCTTTTATTTGAGTGGTTATGTTAATGGTGCTCTGGGGAAACAAAGCGAATGTTTGTTATCCTGGCATATATACCTGTGTATATTATCACAAAAAAAAGGCAGACAGTGGAGTAGGGAGAACAATCATAAAGCTAGACTCACAGCTTAGTATAGTGCCTCGTAGTTAATATATATTTGTTGAATGGCTGAATAGATTCAGACTGAATGCCAAATAATGTGACTTTAAAAAATTAGTATACATATCAAAATATTTAAGGAAACAATGGTTAAACATAAAAGCGGTCACCTCGAGTAGCTATACACATAATTACTCCTCACAATGTTTCCCTTGCTGAAAACCTTTTGGGAACTCTTCTGCAAGAATTTTCAGCATTTTTCAAAGGCAGTGTATAAACTACATGTTTGGTCTTTATACTTCATAAGTCATATTTTGTTTCACCAAAACCTTCACAGTGTAAAAAACCAAACCCAGCACAAAAAACATAAGACAATATATTTTAGGTTCTCCACAACAAGGCTTCAGAAGTTTAGATAACTAATGACAACATCAATGAACTAAGTATATCACCTCTCAAGGACCTGAGAGATCATTTAAAGGGTTAATGGTCATAAACATGAAGGTTTAGAGTATGAAATTTAAAACACACATTTTAGATATAGATCGAACTCTGAGGACAAAGTGGGAACTTCCTATATTTTACTTCCTCTCATAACTCCAAACATAATATTGTAGGTGAGCTGCTGCTAGGCTGCATCGAAGATTGTTCAGCTGTGGACTTGCCCATACTTCCAGTTACTTGGATTTTCAACCTGCCCATACTCTAGCCCACATGGCATTTGTACTCATCCTCTCCCACTGATCCAACCACACACACCATCTACTTCATGAGAGTGGGCACTCTAAAGACTTTCTATCTTGAAAGTATTATTTCAAACTAAGAGTAAAAAGAAAATATTTGGAAGCAAAAGAAATAAAAGAACAGGAAAAGTGACAGTAAAACCTCGAATCTCAGGATAGCAGCTTAGCAAAAGTATATTTAAATGTAACAGGGTAGAACAGACCAGCTGAGTCCCCATCTCAGAAATGCTTCCTCCCAGTAGGCAACAAAGAGAAGCCCACTAGGACTCTAACACACTCTTTTCCCTATGTATCCCAACACCATTAGCCAGCTGAATTAAAAGCGAATGGGTGCTGCCAGGTAATTCCACTGATCTCCCTTTTCTGCAACAATAATTACTGGCCAGCTGAGGACTAGATAATGAGAAGGACTGGAAGTAAAGCACATACACCAAAGGTACTGTGTCAAGTGATATATGAGATGTGTTCATAAATGAATGAGTTATTCCAGAGCCATACATGCAAATCAGTCTCTTTACTGGAGAGGCATACCTCTCATATGTATATTTTTCAAATATACTAACACATGAAAGATCACATCACCTTGTTTATGGATACATTTAATATCCTTTACCCTTCCCAACTTTCAAAACATAATAGTATACAAAATATAAAATATCTTAAATATTTATAAAAATTGCAAGAAAAAAATAAAATGTATGAAAATATTTCTATCTGAA